GGCTCAGTTTTGCTTCAGAGAGTGCATGAACTCTACGCAATTCTACAAGACAATTCTTTATTATGACTGAGGATTTTAATTCTGCAGTTGAAGTGTGGTACCTATGAAGACTATGCAATATAATTAGCTAGAAAATAGGAAATTCCAACAAATTTTGTAATATGCTTGATGTTAGGCACTTTTGAATGTTACAGGCATAGGCAGGAAACAAAGCACATGGTGACGGCACTCAGGCATCTGACTTGGAGGCTATTTCTATGTGATCAAAGCTCTCCAGGCAGCCAAGGCCCTCCCTTCCTTTAAATGCCAATCTGTGGTTCCTGCCTTGTGCGGGGGATTCAGAATCAAAAGCTGGGCTCCTTTGCTAGAGCAATTGAAAGGGCAGGGATTCGCAGTGGTCAGGAATGACAGCAGCTCTGGGGTGCATTGTTCCCCACTTCTGTCTTACTCTCTGTTTCTTCCTCTCTCTCATCGTGAGTCTCCTCCTTTTCTTACATCCCCTCTGCTGCCCGCTGCCTTGAGGCTCCGGCTGCTTCCTCTGCCCTCTGTGCGACCTGGTTCAGGATCGCTGAGCCCTTGGCTTCCCTGGCTCATCTGGACCTGGACCGGGCTATCAGTGCCTCCCGTGAGCTTCTGCTCTGCTGCTCATCACCTTGGTTTCTCAGTGTTCTGGTTCCTAGGGGATCACAGGGATGATTCCAACTCATCTTTTCAAACTGTTCTTCAGAAGGCATGGGTCAGAGGTCACCTGGCTTTGTGTCAGGTGTCTGCTCCCATTTACTGATGTTTTAGGTTTGTAGGAGTAGAGTCATGTGATATGGAACGTGACTACTGCCTTTTTAGGAGGTAAATGGACAGAAAACGTTCCCATGGGAGATGGTATGAGAACTTTGTAGAACTTTCTGTATCAGTAGTTTACTTTGCCCGAACATGACTACTACACTCTAAGCTATCATTTAAAGAGATGTTCCATCCTCAGTGGCACATCAGAAACAGTGTACAGCCATCCAGTTGTCCCACAGCATCCTTGGATAATTGTTTCCCGGACCCATCCCCCTGAGGATATTAGAATCTGTGAACACTCAAGTCCCTGATATAAAATGGCATAGTATTTGCATATAACCTATGCACATCCTCCTGTATACTTTAAATCATCTCTAAATTGCTTCTAATATCTACTACAATGTATGTACTAAGTAAATTGTTGTTATATTGTACTGTGTTAACATTTGTATGATTTTTATTGTTGTGTTGACATTTTTTGTGGTGTTTTTCCTAAATATTTTTGATCGATGGTTGGTTGAATCCACAGATGCAAAACCCAGATACAGAGGGCTAACCATACAAGCTAAGGGAAAGAATGCGTTTTCCTATTGCTGAACACAAGACCCCCTGCTGTGCAGTGATAATGCAATCTTGATAATAATAGCAGTAAAAGCCACCACACGTGGTGGCTCATGACTGTAATCCCTGCACTTTGGGTGGAGGAAGCAGGAGGATGCTTTGAACCCAGGAGCTTGAAGCTGCAATAAGCTATGATTGCACAACTGCATTCGAGCCTGTATGACAAAGCAAGACTCTGTCTCAAAAAGAAAAAAAAAAAAGAAACGCCTTTTACTGGTTTCTTATTATATGCCACAGACTTCACATACTTTGTAAGTCATTCTTCTAATGGTTCTAAAGGATAGATGCAAACATCCCTATTTTACAGGAAAAGAGACTTCTGGGAGCTTCAGTAACTGGTCCAAAGTTACCTTGAAGGAAAGTGGTAAATACTCAGGTCCCTCTGATTCCAACACCTATGTTTTTCTACTGTATTAATCTGATTTTTAAAATTCTAACCAATATCTTTTAAAGGAACTAAGACAAGAAATAGAGTCTACTTTATTTACATGGATATTAACCAGTTCTGCTGCTCTTCCTCCATTTCTAAAGTTTCACGTGCGCTCTGGTGTCATTTCTCTTCAGCCTAAAGAACTTCCTTTAGCATTTCCTGTAGAACAGGTCTGCTGGTAACACATTCTATGCTTTCCTTCTTCACAAATGGCTTTATTTTACCCTTATTTCTAGAAGATATTTTCACCACGTGCAGAATTTTAGTTGAAGGTCTTTTCTTTCAGCACCTTAAAAATGTTTTCCCACTGTCTTTTGGCCTCCGTCATTCTTGACGAGAAAGTTAGAGTCTTGGGATTGTTTCGGCATATGTTTTATGTCATGATTTTTTCCTCTGGCTGCTTTCAAGACTTTTTCTTTGTTACGGGCTTTTGGTAATTTTTTTACTATGTGTCTTGACTAATTTATTGGGGGAGTTTATTATCTTTTGGAGTTTGCTGAGTGTCCTGTATCTATAAATTTGTGTTTCATCACATTTGGAAAGTATATCTAAATCATCTTTGGGTTGGCTGTCTCTTTGATAATTGATCAGATTTTCATTATTTGTTGGTATGTCAAGTAATTTCAGGTTATATCCTGGACACCTTCAATTTTATGTTGTCAAAATTCAACGTGTTAAATTCACTGGAGAATTCACTGTTAAGATTCTCTGGATAATGTTGATTTTTAAAAATTTTATTGTTTTTTTTCAGCAGGCAATCAACCAACCCAATCTGTCCCTTTCTTCTGTGGTGGCAGTTTCAATGTCAATTCAGTTTTCAAAGTCTATGTGATGCTCTTGGTGCCCTGCACCCTGGGGCTCACACTACTCAGGGCTTGCTCTGGAACCTGGATGGTCTTCAAACTGTAATTTGGTTCTCAAAGACTTTGCTATGCTTCTTGGTCTATTTCCTGTGCATGTGCAACTTGGGGGTACACTTGGTCCTTGTGTAGGTTCAAACATAGAATTTTAGAGTCTTTTCTTTAGCTCTTTTCTCTGTGAGATTTTGTTTACACCCTCTGGGTCCTCGGACCGCTTCCCAGTTTCTCTGGCCAGAAAGGTTGAATTCTGAGTTGTGGCCTCCTGTGCTGTGGCACATTTCCATGCAGCCGTGACACACAGCAAGCAGCAAGAGAAAAGGGAAAAAGCATAACCATGATTCCTCCCTCCTCTTTGCACAATGAGGGCTCCTTTTTGTGGTTCCTCTATCTAGAGGGTTGGGTCATCATTTGGGATCTTAAGTGCCCACACCTCCACTGGGGCAGCAGTGCAGACCTGTATTTAAAGCTGATCTGGAGGCAGGACTAAGGGAATAAAAAGAGGAAAAAATAAACATGGAGATTTACTCTGGCTTTCAGGGGCCTATTTTCCTAGATTTCTAGGAAATGAATTCAACTAAAGATTTTTGTTATTCACACCTTTTACACAGTTTCCAGTTGGCTTACCTTCAGGCCAAATCCATGAGGAAAAAAAAGAAGAAAATCAGATAACTCTTTGCAACTTCATCTTTTGTTAAGACTTGACTTTCCTTCTCACCCCACTTGCTATTATTTACTTTCACTCCTTATATGGTTGCTTGTCATACTTACCTAGTTTTAGTTGTGATCAGTGCAGCCGTGGAATGAATTTCTTATTCTCTGAGCTGCTTCTTGTTAGTAGTTATTATACCCCTAGCACTTGGCATGGAAGCTGTCCTGTGAAAGATAACCTCAACCTATTTCTAGATGAAGTAAATGAAAATGTAAAATGTGAGACTCACCAATTGCCTAATAAACTGTGGAAGGACAAGGACAGCAAATATTTGGCCCACACTCTGCAACTCTTGATTTCCATACTCAAAGTTGACATTAGTATCTCTTCACTGCCCTGTTCCCTGCTGAATCTGAATACAACTGCAGAATGTTGTCTGACACAGCAGCCCTGGAAACCATGCCAAGTGGCCAGCATTGGTATGGGAAGTGAAAACCTATCAGGTATTTCTGTCTTCAGGACTTGGTTATTCATATAAAAATCTGAGCCTTCCTTTTCCATTTAACCGAGGTGACTCCTCTTCTCAAATTTCCATCGTCCCATCTTCTTTCCTCTAAGACTCCAGTTGGTTGATAGATTTCTTCTTTGCTAGGAAGGTGTGTTGAGGAAAAACATTCTTTGCCTTCTTATCAAGTTTTATATTTTCTTAAAATATAACTTGACTAATATGTTTCACTAAGCATTCCCCCATCTATACCATCAAGAATTTATTTTAGCATGTTAGCCTTTTGGAAACGATGAATTTTGTTAAGGTTGGTAATTATCCAACTCAAAAATGATTGTAGAATTCCTTTTTGTTTGATTACCGTATGTCACCAAACCTGCTATCTATTTTTCACCAGCTGTACCATTAACTTAGCCTTGCTTGTCCTTGATGCCTATAGACTTCTATACCTCTCATTTTGAATCTTTCTAAGTGAAAATATTAATAGAAAGAGGTAGGCCTTAAATAAATCTGATTTAAATTCTCAGATTTGCTTGGAAAGCATAGCTAAACAAACTTCATTTATGGTTTTGCTTGTCATTTTTTATTGCCTTAGACTATTTTCTATAGAGCCAACAATCTAAATAGAAGCAGATATTTTTGTTGTGGTTAGGGGCTTGGGGTGACTGTTATCAGCTCTCAGAGATAATCATGGTGCAAATATATCTTAGCAGAAGATGTGAGGCAGTGTTTGTAAATAATGTGAATGCCTTTACATGTGTTTGGACCTTCGGTGTGAAACACTTCTATGCTATCCGAGTGGGCACTTAAATGGGGGAACTCTTTAGAAGCAAGAACCTTAGGTCTTCTTGCTTCTAAAGTGGAAAATCTTGATGGAAAAAAAGAGCTCCCACAGTATATTAAGCTTGTGTGTGGTACAAACATTGAGCAAGAGGAGTTGATTGAAAGTCACGAACACGGACATCACTGATTCCAAGGTCATCTGATAAAATCTCCTGTTTGTTGAGACCCATCCCTGGCATTCTATCTAGCAGTGCCCATGGCTGAAATTAGAAAAATGAAGACGAAAGCAACTGATTGTGTGGCAATCTGCTGTATCCATAATCTAAGTGTATTTTTCTTTCTTTTCTCTTTTCCTCCTGGGGGCTCCAGTTTACCGCGGTTTTTGGGCAGTCCTGATGCTCCTGGGGGTAGTTGCTGTAGTCATCGCAAGCTTTCTGATCATCTGTGCGGCCCCCTTCGCCAGCCACTTTCTCTACAAAGCTGGGGGAGGCTCCTATATTGCTGCAGGTACGTACAGTTAAGTGGGTATGACTTTCAGCCATGGTTTTTCTTCATGTCTTTCAATTTTTCATTTCTATATTCAGGCAACAGCCTTCTAGTAACAGTAACACAATAATATTTGTATACAATACTTCTTGAGCACGAACTAATAATATTTGTATACAATACTTCTTGAACACAAACTAATAATATATGTATACAATATTTCCTGAACACTATGTGTCAGACACTTTCCAGGGACTTTCCATTTTCCACATGCTGACACATTTAGCCATTATGATAGTCTCTGCTCACTGTAAGCCCATTATTATAAAGAGGAGAACACTGAGGCTTAGAGGAGAAAACTCTGTCACTGACTCACTCCAAGGTGCGCAAGAGGCTGTTAACCTCTTACCCTATTAATTTGCCGTCTGTAAATGGGGATTGTAACGTATGTCTCTGTAACATGTCAGGTTATGATATGGGTAGGTATTTTCTGAGCTCTTCAAAGATAGCCCTGTGATGATATTTATGACAAACACACACTCTTGATTTATCATAGGTACGAAAATATTTTTCTACATCATCACCATTCATTTTCTTAATTGTTTGTTCATGCCAGGTGTGGTGGCTCACACCTGTAGTCCCCGTACTTTGGGAGGCTGAGGTGGGTGCATCACTTGAGGTTAGGAGTTTGAGAACAATTAGTTAATTAATTGTGGTTCACGTGAATTATCTGAATATATTATTTTCTGTGTGAAGCTTGCATTTATTTTAGTCCGGTTTCTAACTTATTTGATTCCTGCTAAAATGATCACACTGCAAATAGAAAAGTAATTTGAAGAGGTGGCACCATAGTGACAGTTGAAGGAAAGGAACAGAATGGAAAGGATTGTTGTCCTTCTAATCTTTGGAAAGATAGCTTGTGACGCTGCCCAGTGTCACTTCATCAGTGCTCAGGTAACAACAATACTTTCTGTATGAGATGGTGCTTAATTCTGTAGAGGGAATAAAAAGAATAATCAGATCTAGATCCTGTGTTTTATAGGGGCCAAGAGGAACAGAAGTTTCCCTGAAAAATCGACTTGCAAAAGGCAGATTAATTGAAGAAAAGGCATACATATTTATTTAACATGTATACACAGCAGCTTTGAGATTGAAGACCTAAAAAGATATGGGCAAATTGTCTAGTTTTATGCTTATGTTCCACGAAGGATAGGCAGCTGTGTAGAAATGATTGGACAAAAAGGGTGGGATCTAATGGTCATAGACGAGTGCGGAACCCAGCGAGGCCTGTCTGTTTAGCTTCTTCTTGGCCTCTGAGCAGCACGCCTGCCTTCCGGGTGTGGGGCAGGACCCTCTCTGGAATTGGGATCTTATGACCTATTGGCAAACAACGTAGGTCAGGTCATTCCTTTGAGGCCAGTTTTTACCCAGAAAGGTGGAGGGAGAGTTAGAGTCATATGTTCAGGTTTCATGGCTGGCTTTGGGGAAAGGAGTTCTGGTTTCTATGATTCACCTTTGTGGAGAGGGGTACCTTTATGGTTTCTAAGGCCAGCCTCGGGAGAGAATAGGGCTGGGAGGCAGGAGGGCAGGAGAAGGTCAAAGGAAAACTTTTGCTTCTGAGGCTGCTCCTGGGGCTTCATTTTGGGGTTTCCTTGCTCAGCACTTCATGCAAAAGCCCCGAGCAGTTCTGAGGTGTCCAAGGTGTTGAGGGAGCCCATTTTCAAAGCCATGAAACTGGATGATTCAGAGGATATTTACTTTACATTTGACTTTTATTATAATTTCCTTTGTGGCACTGTTATGGGAATCAGGAGGACCAGAGAGACCTCAGGGTAAAGGAGGAGGATTTTACTGAGTGCACTCAGATCCAGTGGATTAACATCCTGAGACTGGGCCCAGAACAAAGACAGCTCTTGAACTTTATACACACTTCAAAAAGGGGGTGGGCTAGCTTGAAGCAGGCTTTCGGTGGCATGAAAGCAATGAAACAGAGGCAGAACAGAGACAGTTAATCAAATTGTGGCCGGTGTGTAACTCAGGATTACATATGATGGTTGCTATGCAGCCCAGATGGCTGTTATCTAGGTTTGCTCTAGTGTCTAGCATGGGCTTATCTCATAACCTTCGCTATGGCACCCAGATGGCTGTCGTTTGGGCCTGCTCAGGCTTCTCATGACCTTCATCATGCCGCTTAGATAAAACAAAATACTTGAAGTTACGAGTTACAGAGAACAGGAATCTATAAACTCATACTAAAAAGAGAAAGGAAAATTTGTTTTTCTTCTCCCTTTGCTGAGGGAGTGCTGGGAGAGTCTCCAGAGCACGTTCTTTTGTGTCCTGGCTTCTCAGATAGTGTTTATTGAGGCTTTTCCTGGGTCTGGGCTATGCCTGTTGCTGCCCTAATACAGGAAAGCTTATTTATTTTTCTACTTAATTTTATTTTTCTTTCTTTAATTTCCGCCTCAGTACAATTCTACATTGTTTGTGTATGGCCATTTGTTTACCAAGAGCAGGGAGAGCTACCCTATCGCATGGGATGGAATGTGACTGGTCACTCGTTCCAGAGGCTCCCATGCCAGCCCTGGGCCAGCACATTGAGCTTTGCCCACAACTAGGAGCAGGTGCAGCCTGGGCTCAGGCTTGTGGTGGCTGCTTTTTCAATGTCACAAACAGAATTGGACGCTCTCTGTATTTTTGGGCAGATGGTGTTAGGGAAGGGCAGAGCTAAATTTTCTATGGCCATTGCTGGGTGTGTGCACATAGGAAGACTCTTTGGCATCAGCAGCCCTGTGTTTAGACATTCCATGCATGGCAGAGGGATGCTTATATCAGGGCTGTGGGGTAGGAGGGATGGGGCCCATGGTATTCCCTTTGCTAGGTCAACAGGCTCAGAGCAAGGCTCAGAAGGCTTGGAAGGTGGATACTGCTTCTCCCTACACTTGGACAGAGACTTCCTCAGGCAGGCCAGGCCACCTGTTTCCAGGGGAGTCAGTTCTGGGCAAAGTGTAGTCATTGTCAGGACAATGACCCTCAGCCATAACTGTTTCAGCGAGTGATCACACACCTCTGCAAGATCTCAGCTGCCCCCGTTTGTTTTAATGTGGACTCACAGAGAAGTCTTAGATACAAATGGGTTGTCACACATCTCCTCCTGCCCCATGGCATTGAATGTGATAGGAAAGATGCAGGAAGTGTTAGGATACGTAGGCATGGCATTCTCAACATTGGCTTATATGAAGAAAATTACCGTAAAGCTGAATAGTCATAATCCCTGGGCAAAGCAACATCAACACAGCAATTTCTGTACATGAGCAGGACATCTACGTGTGTGAAATGAGTAAGGATGTGGCCTGGACACTCAGGACACTGGCATTGGGAGATCAGCCATAAAATTCACTATCTTACCAGCACATCAAGGTAGAAACATTTTTCTGCCATAATTGAAGTAGCCTTTTCTTAAATGGCAAAGTGGGATGTGTGTGGAATTTTGCTGCAGAAAGTAGAAACAGAGTCTCTCTGGGTGGAGGAGACTGCAGAGCTCTGAACCTTGGGTTAAATCCTTTGTTAGACTCTCAGGCTGGTGAGACTACCTGGACATCTCGAGAGTAGAAGGATTCAAGCAGCCCCTATTCCAGGTCCAGGGTGTGCTCATGGAAGCAAAGGGTGTCTTTGCAGTGTACCTTAGTACCTTGAAACATCACAGAGGCCAAGTTACATCTTGATTCCTGCATGTGCCTGCTTGCTCTGCACCATTCCGTGAGGACAAGGTGAGCTCTTTGTCCCAGACAGCTGCTTCACAAGCTACTGCCTCCCACCAGGGAGATGAGCAGGGCTGGTTGGGATGAATTGTGTGAATCCTCTGCCATGTGTGGCAAAAAGCCTGAAGCACAGCTGTCTGCAGCTCACCCATCTTTCCTGCTCTGGAGGCAGTGCTTTCTGTAAGTGTAGGGTTGGAAACACTTAATCTAGTGTAGGAAAGGTCAATAGATAGAAAGGGAATAGAAAGTCCCCATCTCTAGCAAGTTAGACTGACTTAAAAGGAAGTGGGATTTGTGGTTTGTTTTCCTTTTTTCTTTTCAGAAGATCAAGAGAAATGGCAATAGCCCATCAGTAAACCGCATTTATTTGCAACTAAGATAAGAGAGATATGATGGACACTTAATACGTAACTCAGGATTTTTTCTCCTTAATCCTAGCAAAAACAGCTCGCAGAAACCAAGGGACGTAGTTCAGGTGCTCATTTTCCTTTGGCTGAGACTGAGCATGTGGCTCACAGAGGCTCCTCGTGTTTTCCTCCAGGTAAAGGAGGATGTGGCAGCCATCAGAGCAGAAGAGTGTGTGGGGCAAGGCAAGAGCAGGACAGCTTAGGAAGAACTGTCAACAGCCTGGAGGCAGTCTGTCTACACCTGCATGCAGGTGCAGCCCTGCCATCCACACCTGCAGGCACACACAGCCCTGCTGTCTACACCTGCTGTCTCCACGTCCATCCAGTGAAAGATCTGGGCTACAAACAGCTGCCTACTGTGGACAAGCCCAGGGATCTCCCTGGTAGGGGCTGGCTAAGGCGTGGCTACAGTGGCTTTTCTTTTTTTCTTTCTTCTCCTTCACATTTTAGTTTTTTAAAATTATTTTATTTTTTTAAAAACGATTTTTCCATAGGTTATTGGGGTACTGGTGGTGTTTGGTTACATGAGTAAATTCTTTAGCAGTGGTTTGTGAGATTTCGGTGCACCCATCACCCGAGCAGTATACACTGCACCCTATTTGTAGTCTTTTATCCCTTGTCCCCTTCTACCCTTCCCCCCAAGTCCCCAAAGTCCATTGGAGCATTGTTAGGCCTTTGTGTCCTCATAGCTGAGCTCACACATATCAGTGAGAACATACAATATTTAGTTTTCTGGTCCTGAGTTACACCTAGAATAATAGTCTCCAACCTCGTCCAGATCGCTGTGAATGCCTTTAATTCATTCTTTTTAATGACTGAGTAGTATTCCATTGTGTATATGTACCACAGTTTCTTT